TTATTAATACCTGTATTACATTCTACATTAATAACCAGCAACAAAAATTAAATTAAATGATTCGAAAGAAATTTACCAGGTATATCCTTTGATTCAATGACGTGTCTTTATTGCTACGTTCTGAAATGACCGTAATTTTTATTAAAGGGTTCAGGTATAAATTTTCGGTAAAATATTTTCGATTAAATATATTCTAGAACAAACATGGACACATTTAGTAATATAAAAAACTTTACTTGGTGAAAAAATTCCAAGTAGAACAGAAGTTATGAAATTATCAATGTTGTGAGTACTGCTATTTTATGTAAGAAAATTTCTATACATACGAGTACTAAATGATAGCACATGAAAGGAAGAAAAACCCGTTAAATCCACGTATATTTTTAAAGGATAGTGCCTAATTTTATCTAGAAGTAGGGCAAACTATATATTTTCGGAAAGGTCTATGCAAGCCCTAATTTTCTGTTTTCATGTCAGCTAAAAAATATCCAAGATGGCGGCAAAATATCCAATATGGCCGCCAATAGTAAAAATGGCCGATACAGTCATTGAAAACATACTTTCAAAATCAGGTGAGTTAAGAATAAATAATGAAATTTTATGAATTATTTACAATTTATTACTTTTAAAAGATTTATTAAAATAAGGATCGTAATAAAATATGGTCACTAAAAGTTAGAGTTCTGTCCTGACATCGCAAAGAAGAAAGATGTCAATATAATGAAAATGGCAAAAAAATGGGAAAAAAGAATTTACTACAATTAATTCACAACTTTATTTTTAAATTTACATAGATCTTTAAAATACATGATATCAAATTTCGGTTTCAATCAATCATTGTATATATTATCCATGCTTCCTGGAAAAGTTGAGTGTTAAGTTTCTCTCAGACTTCTGCTACTACCGGCCGCAGGCGGGTACCATAATCATGATATGGAATGATTCTAGCACTTTCCCGAAGTCTAACTGACAGGTATATACTCACTGAATAAAAAATTAAACCACAAAGTATCATGTTCCCCCCCAAAAATATAAATATTTTATAGTTATAAGTTAAATAATGAATAAATATTTTCTTTTATCACATTTAAACTTCGGTTTTTTCATTTATTATACAGACAGTATTTCAAAATTCAGAGGAAATCCAGGCTGCAGAATCAAATTTGTACATTTATATCAGGGATCATTAACTAGCATATATAATATATAGGTCCATGTATATGTTATGTAGTAGGAAATAACCACAGTTTTCATAGATTTTTTATCCAATAAGTCTAAAATTATTTAATCTCACGTTTTACGATACAAAAGTGTGCATGAATTTAAGGATAAATAACACAAACAAACTTTTTTTCAGAAATCAGCATTATTTCTCATAGATTTACATTTAAATTGACAACCTGAATAATGTTTACCAAGTAGAGTGGGAGAATTTTATAAGATTTTGTTATAAAGTTAAAAAATTGTGCAAAATTTTGTATGGAATTATATAGAAGGCAAAATAAAATCTCAAATCTAAGCACCAAGGAAAACCTACGATTTCTTTATATTTCAGGGATTTATTATTTATGTCATTACAAATCAAAATCAGTCAAAAAAATATATATCAACCCGCGCATCCATTTTTTGTTTGTGGTAAGTACCCTTAAAGGTACTTAGAAACTGTTCAAAAGTTGCGTCGGGTTGACGTCTTTTGAATGAAATCCGGGTGAATTATTTTCCGAGATAATTACAGAACCACAATATTCTGATAGGAAATTTTCTCAGCTTTCTAAAAGTGTATGTTGCATAAAAATATTTCGATTACTTACCGTTGTAAAATTGACCTCTTTCCTTTGAAACGAAAATACATAAACTAACTTCTGCACATTGCATCAAGATGCAACAATAACAATGTTAATCTTCAAAATGTAAGCTTTCCTGTGATAGGTCAATGTCGTTAATTCCTTAAAAATCGCCTCCCGGAAATCCAATCAAAATGACGCTGACGCTATCAACGTCGCGGAGACAAAATTACAGTGCCACGCATAAAAGGGAAAACCCCGTATCCAATTTTAGCACAACTTTAACCCGGTTAATTTTTAATACAAACTTTTCAGAATGACATAAAACACGCATCATACGAAAGTTCAAACAATGTAGAAAAATTCATTATATTTAATTTCTAGATAAATTATGAATAATAATGCAAAAAATACGTTAATAAACACCAATAAATTGCGTTTAAATGGCACAATTACATAGCTAAGTCGGGTACGTTACCTGAACCCCCTATTTTTATGTTGTATATTATTTCACCATGACCATAGACCCATAAACTTGCAATATCAATCAAGAAGGCGGGAGGCCCGGGTTCAATTCTCGATCACGACGTCGCGTCAAACCTAAGACGTAAAAATAGGTAAAGACTGTTCCTTCGCCAAGCGCTCGGCATCAGATGTGAAAGTCACGGGTCTTTCGGATATGACCTTAAAAACGTAGGTCCCGTGTCATGGTAGGCGCTGGCTCGATAAAGAACCCTCACTGCTCAATGGCCCTGCATGAGTGCCGAGTATAGGTCTTTTGAAGCCCTTCACCGGCATACGGTGACGTCTCCATATGAGTGAAAAATTCTCGAGAGGGGCGTTAAACAATATACAATCAATCAATCAAGAAGGATATGGAGATAACGAACAGTATTCAATCTCAAAGTCCATAAAACAATACAAAACAAGAGCAGAGCAAACATCAGAGGTGGGATCAGGTGCTATGGAGGAGTGAGCATACCCTGCTGACCTGTCATACCCGCCGTGTACTATGTGCTCATTATCATGATCGTGAAATAACGGAAAAATCAAGTCAATCTGAACTGCAAATGAAAATATCATTGAGATAAATATTTTTTAATAACTGTTCGTTACACTATAGTACAACTAAAGAAATACATACATGTATACTGAATTAAAAGCAAATCCCCGATATTTTATGCTGCAAATGGGGAATAATACGAGGCCAATGAGGAAACCCTCCATCCTTATTTATCTTATACTAGTATACATGTACATGTAAAAACAGCAAGCAGTTGCGAACATCTCAGGGTTTTTTTTTTAAGTTTCCTGGGTAAAACATCACGTACGAATCGACCGTTTGATTATAAAAGACTACAGTACATGTTGTTCAGAAAAAGTGTAAATTTTCAGATTAAAGTGTAAAATTTACAAATTAAAATGTAAATTTTACAGATTTAAGTGTAAAATTTACACTTTGAAGTGTAAAATGTACACTTTCAAGTGTAAAATTTACAGATTAAAGTGTAAATTTCACACTTAAACGTGTAAATTTCACACTTTACGGTGTAAATTTACAGATCAAAGTGTTAAATTTACAGATTCAAGTGTAAATTTTACAGATTAAAGTATAAAATTTAAACTTTAAAGTGTTTTGTTTTTTTTTTTTTTTTTTTTACAATTATACAGATTTACGTGTAGAAAATTAAAAAAAAGTCTCCAAGTTTAACTTTCACGCTTCCGTAGCCTACAGTGTGAGACTAATTATAGTTTTCAGCTCAACTGAGCCAAGGGTTCAAGTGAGCTTTTCTGATCACATTTTGTCCGGCGTTGGTCTGTCTAGCTGTCCGTCTATCCGTCTGGCTGTCTGTCTGTAAACTCTTCACATTTTCGACCTCTTCTCAAGAACGACTGGGCCAATTTCAACCACACTTGCCACAAAGCATCCTTGGCTAAAGGGGATTCTTTGAATCTACACTACCTGAGGATGTTTCCCCATAAGTTTCATCTTTCCTGGCACAGTGGTTCTTTAGAAGAAGATTTTTAAAATACTGTGAAATCACTAATTTTCGTGGGGGTTTCAATAGGTCCACACATTGCACAAATTTTTAAAAAGGCACCCTTAAAATTGCCTATCAAAAAAGTAAATAAATGTTTTATAAATACAAAGGACCAGATTTCAAACAATTAATTCATTTGCAGTATATAAGTAGAGCCCCCACCCCTGACCCTGGGGCCTTGGGCAGAGCCATACATGGAAGCATCCTCGGGTAGTGTGGATTCAAGTTTGTTCAAATCAAGACCCTCGGTGTAGGGTGGGGCCACAATGATCGACCAAAGTTTTACATAGATATATATATAGGATTTTTTAAAAATCTTCTCAAGAATTGCAAAACCATAATTGATCATATTCATATGGTTAAAGTATCCTTTATTACTTTAGTACCTTTACTATATAGTCAATCAATAGCTCTTAAATAGAATACAGACTTTTAATTCCACAGTTTTAGGGGATAAGTTCAATAGACCATCGGTCAGCGAGAAATCTGCAGTGACCCTCATCGCCATATATAGGTCAACTTTCCACCGTATTTATCGCACGTGCGACTTAAGTGACCTACTTATTGGGTACCCCTCAATTCTCTATCTTTTCAAATGACATCAAAATCAATTACTGTGACCCGTATGCTTAAAAAGTTTTTCGTGCCTTCCACATAACTTTGAAACCATAGGAGATAGAGACTGTACATTTGGATTGCATACTCCACTTATCAAGTCCTTTCAGAGGCTTTCAAATGACATCAAGGTCAATGACCTTGACTGTAACCTATGTGCCAATTTTTTTTTTTTTTTGAACTTTGTTGTTGCCATTCGCAGTGTTTCAAAAACACATCTTGTTGAGCAATGTTACTTTTCTCCTAGCTTGCCATAAAAAAGTGTACTAACTCAATAATTTCATTGCCAGCAAGTAACACAGGAATGCTAGACAATGTCCACACAGGCAAGACCAGGGGTTCTAGGATTGATGAAAGAGAAATACAGCAGATGTTGAAGTTATTAGTAGTGTTCAGCCTTAACCTTTTAATTATGAACACAGAAAAATCAGCTGATCAGATCTTTCAACTCGCATGAGCTTAAGGGAGTTGGAAATCAGTTTTAACACATGGAAATTTTTTGTTAGTAATTAATCAATGTCTCTTTATTGTCTGCATGAAAACAAAAATAAAAAGGATTTTGAAAGCCCACTTTATTGAGAGAGTACAGTATTTAGTAGATTCTCTGTGATGGTGTCATGGTCCCCTTGATGTAGAGGGCGCGGACGTTCTGCCAGTTCTTCTTCAGTAGAGACACCAAGAAGTTGATAGCCAGGGTGATGTTAGCGTACAGCTCATCCTTAGGCATGTTGACATGTCCTACACAGGTAGCCAAGCACAACACCTGCAATAAAATGCACACAAATTATCTCATGATTGATGATTCTCAAAGATAAAACTGTTTTATCACCTAACAATTTATGTGGCCAACAAAAGTTCACTGATTAGATGTTTCTCAACTTTTTTTTACAAAGCTGCTTTAAGACTTGCACAATTTGTGTGCCCAATACAGGACCACTTATCAGCTGCATTTACTTTCTTAAAGCAATTTTAAGACCTGTACAATTTGTATGCCCATTACTAACCCACAAATCACCCCTATATAATTACCTTTTTAAGCTGGAACTTGATGGTGGCCTTGATGTCCTCCACTTTCTGTACGAGTGACTCCTGGTGGGAGACCTGGGTGGGGAATTTTCCCACTCTGTTGAATCCGGGGCCGCAGATCTTAGGGATCTGCTTGATCAGGGAGTCGGAGGCCAGGAAAGCATCATATTTCTTTGCTGAAATAAGAAACATACACTACATAAAAACTATATTCTTCTTCCATACTTATACTAGATGTACAAATCAATTCTTAGGAAATAATGCCTCTGTTCAAAAATGATTTTCATCACTGCAAGTATCAGGTAATACATGCAACTTCTGTTATTCTTCATTGGCAAAATTTGTAAAGTTGTACTGTCACAAGTCGATATGAAATTATGAATTTGTGTTGACAAAATACAGTTTCTTCCATACTTTTTTTCATTTTGCCAAGCCTCAACAAAAATGTTACTACAGGCTGTCAATTGCCTTTCTATGCTCAGTAAGAACCACTCCACAATTCTAAATACAATGGAAAAATTAAAA